TTTTTGAAATGGGGTTTCACTTTTTGCCCAGGCTGGAGTGCAATGGCATGATGGCATGATCTCGGCTCACTGCAGCCTCTGTCCCCATGATGGCATGATTTCGGCTCACTGCAGCCTCTGTCCCCATGATGGCATGATTTCAGCTCACTGCAGCCTCTGTCCCCATGATGGCATGATTTCGGCTCACTGCAACCTCTGTCCCTCTGGGTTCAAGCGATTCTCCTGCCTTGGCTTCTGGGTAGCTGGGATTACAGGCGCCGCCACCACACCCGGCTAATTTTGCATTTTTAGTAGAGATGGGGTTTCACCATGTTGACCAGGCTGGTCTGGAACTCCTGACCTCAGGCGATCTGCCGGCCTCAGCCTTCCAGAGTGCTGGGATTACAGGCATGAGCCCAGCTATTTTGAGACTGTGTTGCAGACATTGTAAATCTTCCCCTGATGCACAGCAGGTATCTCCTGCCACAAGGAAAACCTCCTGCAGAACCACAGTAGGGATGCAACACGTTACCCCCTGCGTTGACCTTGAGGCCACACTGTTACACACTGTGTTAACGTTGATGCTACACTATTACCCCCTGCACTAACCTTGATGCCACACTGTTACACACTTAACTTCGATGCTACACTATTACCCACTGCACTAACCTTGATGCCACACTGTTACACACTTAACTTCGATGCTACACTATTACCCACTGCACTAACCTTGATGCCACGCTGTTACACGCTGTGTTAAGTTTGATGCTACACTATTACCCACTGCACTAACCTTGGTGCTGCACTGTTACACATTGTGTTAACTTCGATGCTACACTATTACCCCCTGCGTTGACCTTGATGCCACACTGTTACACACTGTGTTAAGTTTGATGCTGCACTATTACCCACTGCACTAACCTTGATGCCACGCTGTTACATGCTGTGTTAAGTTTGATGCTACACTATTACCCACTGCACTAACCTTGAAGCCACACTGTTACACACCTGTGTTAAGTTTGATGCTGCACTATTACCCACTGCACTAACCTTGATGCCACGCTGTTACATGCTGTGTTAAGTTTGATGCTACACTATTACCCACTGCACTAACCTTGAAGCCACACTGTTACACACTGTTAACTTCGATGCTACACTATTACCCACTGCACTAACCTTGAAGCCACACTGTTACACACTGTTAACTTCGATGCTACACTGTTACCCACTGCACTAACCTTGATGCTACACTGTTGCCTGCGTTTCTCCTTGAGATTCTTTGTCGCCTCTCCCCCTCTGGTTCAGGACCCAGCTAGGGATCCAGATCTGGGTGATTTAGGCTCCCTCTGTCTGGATCAGTCCTCCTCCTCCCTTGGACCTCAGGGAGGCGGGGAAAGGCCTCCAGGGGGTCCGTGACCTTTCTGACATTGTATTTTCCTGCAGAAATTGCTCATAACTTGCATCAGCTTCTCAGAGGGGGCCATGCTTCTTCCCTCCCATGGCGTGAGGAGAAGGCTGGAAGGGATACATTGGTGGGGGATATTGGCTTGTAGGATCAGTCAGGAACGAAGGTCACTGGTGCCACTGGAAAGACTCTCAGCTGTGCTGCTCAGGGTGGGGCTCTGCTGCCCCAAATCACAAAGCCTCTGCCTGTGACACCTCGTGACACCCAGCTCCACACAGGAGCCTTAGAGGGGCTGCAGTGCGCAGGACCTGGGTCACAGGCTGCACCCCAGCTCTAAGGCGGGTGAAGGCTTTTGGGCCCCCTGCAGGACATGCCGACATGATGCAGAATTCCCCGAGGTGCTGGCAGCCAGACTGGTGCTGGGCATAGTGTGGCCCTGGCAGCCACTCACAGGCAGGGCTGGGAGAGCAGACAGACCGGCCACAGGTGCGGCCATCCCCTTTGCTTTTCCCTGGCTTACTTGCTGTTTTCCTCTCTCTGGGTCTGGGGTTCAGTGAGAGCATGTGATCTGCTCAGCCAGTCACCCCGTGGCCTGGAGCTACCGTTCCCTTCAACACCACGAAGGCCTCTGGCCC